GAATCCTCCCTAAGTCATTCTATGAGACCAACATCATCCTGATACCAAAACCAGGCAGAGATTCAACAAAAAAAGAAAACTTCAGGCCAATATCCATGATGAACACTGACGCAAAAATCTTTAATACTGGCAAACTGAATGCAACAGCACATCAAAAAGCTTATTCATCACGATCAAGTAGGCTTCATCCCGGGGGTGCAAGGCGGTTCAACATACGCAAGTCCATAAACGTAATCCATCACATAAACAGAACCAAAGACAAAAACCATGTGATTATCTCAATAGATGTAACGAATGCCTTCAACAAAATTCAACAGCCCTTCATGCTAAAAACTCTCAATAAACTAGGTATCAATGGAACATGTCATAAAATAATAAAAGCTATTTGTGACAAACCTATAGCCAATATCATACTGAACGGGCAAAAGCTGGAAGCATTCCCTTTGAAATCTGGCACAAGACAAGGATGCCCTCTCACCACTCCTATTCAATATAGTATTGGAAGTTCTAGCCAAAGCAATCAGGCAAGAAAAATAAAGAGTATTCAATTAGGAAAGGAGGAAGCCAAACTTTCTCCATTGGCGACGGCATGACTGTATATTTAGAAGACCCCAACCTCTCAGCCCAAAATCTCCTTAAACTGATAAGCAACTTCAGCAAAGTCTTAAGATACAAAATCAATGTGCAGAAACCACAAGCATTCTTATACACCAATAACAGACTTAAAGAGGGCCAAATCAAGAACAAACTGCCATTCACAATTGCTAAAAAGAGAACAAAATACCTAGGAATACAACTAACAAAGGATGTAAAGGACCTCTTCAAGAAGAACTACAAACCACTGCTTAACGAAATAAGAGAGGACACAAACAGATGGAAAAACATTCCATACTCATGGTTAGGAAGAATCAATATTGTGGAAACGGCAATACTGTCTGAAGTAATGTATAGATTCAACGCCATCCCCATCAAGCTACCAATGACCTTCTTCACAGAACTGGAAAAAAACACTTTAAACTTCACATGGAACCACAACAGAGCCCATATAGCCAAGACAATCCTAAGCAAAAAAAACAAAGTTGGAGGCATCATG